AAGTGTGTCTTCCTGAGAATTTGAAAGCAAAATCAGCCCGGACAATGATTTAGGAAACCATGTACAGTCATGACATTTTTCACAGATGTGATTTTCAGTTTCAAAAGCCCGCTTTTAAAAATCTATTATTTAAGATGACATAGCATTCACTACCATTCAGGAAGATGGTAGTAAACAAATAGGTTCTTATTGTCGTTTTTTTTTTTTTTTGCCAAAGCAATGGCAGTCTCTTTTATGTCACTAACTAAACTGACTCCCAAAAGAAGAAGGAATTTAATGGGATTCCCAAAGCATATTAATACAGATTAGCCCTATGGCAGCTCTGCTTTATGGAACATTTAGCCTTTGGAATAGTGACTTTCTGGCCGAGAAACTTATAAACAAATACTATTTGTAATATGAAAGTTTACTTTTATTTCCGCCAATGTTTGTTGATGCCGTGGAGGTAGTATGGGATAATGGCAATGGCTTTGCAAGATGATGGTACTATGAGACCTTAAGAATGTTAATTTGTCCAAGAGTGCTTTAGAATCTCATCTATTAAATCAGGTATATCAAATGCTCACAAGGTGGTTATGATATAATATGTGTAATGTAGGCACCATAGCAAAATGATCGAGAGCAAGGACTCTTGGAGAAAGGCTGTGTCCCATGAAAAGTATGAATCTTGTCAGTTTTGCTGAAAACTGTATTTCCAGGGTTAAAAATGGCGCCTAGCACATGATATGTGCCCTGTAAAGATGTGTTGAGTAAATGGAGTCAAAGCACCCTGGCTTTGTGAATTCTTGGTTATATGATCATGGGCAGGTTAATTACCTCTACAAGCCTCAGCTTCCTAAAGTGAGAAGTAAATGAGAACAGTGTAAATGCTTAATATATTAGGTATTATCGTTCAGGTAACATGAACACAGCCTGAACAAAGTAGGTGCTCAATGTGTCATAACTTTATTACCAATTTGAATTTACAGTTAATAAGCTGTTTATTTTAAAAGACATTATTAATGAGGATAATGTTATGAATTAAGGAAACTACTGGTTTTAAACAATATTGTGCACTTGAAAGTCTTACGAAAACTGCTAAACAGAAGACATTATTAATGCTTTAAGGGATGTTTAGAAGGGAGCATTCATGCACAATTTAAAATTCCATTGTTTAAAAATGCTTTCTCAGATATTTACTTTTTCTCATTAAATATCACTGTGAATGATAAAAGGAATCTGCTTTTACACATTCATCAAAGGAAGCAGTTCCGAAAAGTGTGGGAAATATAGTTGACCCCTGTGTTCAGTACCAAAAACAACAAAAAAAAACCAACCCTCATCTTCTAAAGGCAGAACTTGTTAAGTACTGAGACATATAAAGTATTTTGCAATACTGAATAAACCAATAAATATTTTAAAATATTGCACAGAAGACAAAAAAAAATGAAATCACTTGTTATCTTAATTCAAAACCCACAGTATATATTTTTTCAAAGATATATTTGAACTAACACTTCAGCAAGGTAGAATTACCCTCTTCTATTCAAAATATATATATAAACATAAATAAATAGACATTTATATTCATATATTTAAATTTTATACACAGAACCACAGGGTCCTTCTTCTTTGTTGCACTTGTTTTCTGTTTTTTTTTTATTTCTTAAAGATTTTTTTATTTATTCATTTGAGGCAACAGAGATACAGAGAGAGAGAGAGCATGAGCAGGGGGAGAGGTAGAGGCAGAGGGAGAAGCAGGCTCCCTGCAGAGCAGGGAGCCCGACGCGGGACTCGATCCCAGGACCCTGGGATCATGACCTGAGCCGAAGGCAGACGCTTAACCATCTGAGCCACCCAGGTGCCCCTCACTTGTTTTCTGTTTTATCACAACCTTTTCTTCATAGGAGACAGAATTCAGTGAAGTGTAATGAGGGGTGTTGCCTACCAGGGGAGACTTCCTCCTCCAGAGGGAAGTTCTGACTGATGCCAGCTCTCCTTACCTCACACATCTATCTTCCCTTCCATCTGTTTTATCTTTCTCTTTATTTTCTCTATTTGCCTTTTTGTCTTCTTTCTTTACCTTGACTTTGCTTCAGGACTGGTTAGAAATTCTCGGGCCCATCACGGCTTAGTCCCCAAGAAAGTCCTTACTGCCCCGCCATGATCCTTCTCTTGTCAAGCTCCTGCTCTCTCAGACTGTTTCCAAGGGCCTTCTATATTCACAGAGAATTCACTGTGCTATCAACAGCAAAGTACTCACAGGTCAATGACAGTGGGTTGAAGTGCTGATTGTATCCGACTGTAATTAGGAAGGAAGGGGCATTCCAGAGGAAAGAGTGAAAGCAGTCAGGAGAGAATCAGTGAAAAAATGGAGGGAAAAGTAAAGCAGAGTGAAATTCAGGCAGAGAGAAAGGAAACCACGGTACACGTGGTCATAGTGTGGAAATGAGGCACAGATCCCTCTCTAGTCTGATATTTGAGCTCATCGCTCTGAGTCTTGATATTCAAATGTGACTTTTTCAAGAAAGGAAAGATGCAGCTCAGACTGATCCTGGGTGAAGGGTGGGGGTGGAGGGTGCCTCCATTCTGTGGAGGAACCTCCTTAAGTAGGGCGTTTGCACCTGTCTTCTGTGGGAGCCTCCTTCCCATCATACTCCCACTTCAGCCTTAACTCAAGGCTTCATTTTCCTAAACTCTGGGTGAGTGTCTCTAGCATCAGCTCTCTCGCCAAAATGATACTGTCTCCTCTTTTGTGTCTTAATTTTCCACCTCAACCTATCTCTGCTCCCCTGCTCATTCATTCTTCCCTGAAGGAATAGGAAGAAGATAAACAAACAAAACCCTCTGCCTGTCTTTCAAAATCACTAATGATCTAGCAAAATGGAAACAGAGCAATCATTTCCCAGGATTCACCAACAAATACCTCTTCTCTAGTAGGGTCATAGGGTCTTCTCACTGTCCCTGATAAGCCCAGGGACTGGGTTCCTATACCTGGAATGCTGTGTCTACACATTGCCAAGTCTGTGTGACCCCACCTTCCCTATGATGCCTCCTTTTATTACTTAAGTCTGTGCTGAGTATATTCTTTTCTGAATAGTACCACAAAACTCAGAAATTAGTTGTTTACTGACTGTTTATAATTATATGTCTCTCTTCCCCAACTTGAACAATAAATCTCAACAATAAATTTGAGAACAAGTACAAAATCTTACGAATCTTTGAATTCTGACACTGGGTGACTCACTAGAGTATTAACAGAATCATTTTGGTAGATTCTTCCAAGTCCAGACAGAGCCTCATCATTTACTACATACCATGAACACAACTTCTGTCTTTCAAAGTCCCTTTTCTTCACAATCCCAAAATCTGACACTATTTGAAAGAGAAAAGATTATTTTATAATCACAAAGATTTTCATAATTGCATTATTGGAAACCTTGTAAGGAAATAGTTCTTTAATCAACTTGTTATGCTGGTTTTCTTTTATTATTTCCACATACCCTTACTCCTCCTGCATTATATAATAAAAAATATGTATATTATCAGTCTCCTTCTGAATATCAATTTTCCTGAATATCAGCATGTGAACTCACATCTAGGGTTTTATACTATGAGTGGCCCCGTGCTGTGCTTATCAATAATAAAGTTATATTTTTAGATTTAAATACTTCTGAGCATTTGAAAAATTCCATATGGCTTCTTCTTTTCTAATTAGTTGATAAAAGATGTCTTTGGGTCATTGATTATAGGAATAAAAAATAATGCAAGAGATTCTTATTCTTTTTTTAAATTTACAAGATCTGTCAAAAGGTGAGTGGTAGAGATTCATTTTCTGCAAAACACTGCATTTCTCATCCCATGTTGGAGTCAAGCAGAGCACCAAGTAATTACCTCATTATATATTCCCTTGGCCAAATATATCAAAGTTCCCACCTTCACATGAGAATTAAATATTGGCATGTGGTAACATTTCAATTTTACAACTGAGTTCTGCCTATGGAGATCTAAGTCACAAATCACTCCAGGTTGGGGAAGGAAATCCAGTTTCAATATTTTTTCTTGAATAATCAGAGTTTACATATTTTTATCTACTGTCAGCACTGAAAACTTCAGGTTTTATTAATTTTTCTGTTTGAGTCTTGTTGGAGGGAATAAGGGTTGCGGGAATAAGTGTTCATTTACAATATTTTTAGTTTTTATTCTTCCTAGTGAATATTTTGATTGTCTTATGTACATCAACAATTTAGTTTTGTGCTGAGATCTCCAATTTAGGGTTTTGTTTAAAAAAAAAAGTGGTTCTACTTCTAGAAGATAAAAGAAAGGAAAGACAGTATTGTTAATAAAATATATGAAAATTTCTTTTTTTGGAAAAAAAGTCCAAAAGGCAAGAAAAGATTAGAATGAGTATCACGAGGGAGTTCAAGATTAGCATTTCAGTTTCCTTGGCAAGTCATAAAAATGGTAAGCAAAAAATAGAATGAAATTAATAAAAATGAGTGCGATGTATAGTTACACAATACAAACCTAAATAATTTTATTGACATCTGACCTCTGCATGAAATACTTAAAATGTTGTCTTTTGTGACAAGTAAGTATTTTGCTCTAAACAGCTGCATCACTGAACACGATGGTAGATGCTTCCAACAATCTTAGTTAAAAGATGGTATTATCTCATTTGGACAATACAGAGGTCTTGAACAAGTAGAGTAAGCATTTTTCATGATAGGTAGATTATTTTCTAACTCAATAATAACATCACATAGAGATTTGCCTCTTTAGGCATGATTGTAACAAATTTTACAGTGTAATTGTTTAATTCATTCTTTGATTTATAGCTATAATCTATAGCATAATCTAATTGCATTAAGGCACTGTCCATTATTCTCTCACAAAGAAGGAAGCTAATACCAGAAATGATAAAACTCAGCATTTTATTTTGACCATATCTCTGTGTGCTACATCACTTACATACTGTTATGATCTTTGTAGCAATATGCAAAGAAATGTGTGAAACTCACTCAATGAAGTAAACTTCACCCTTCTCTGTATAGGCCATTTCCCAGTTATCAGGCAATGGGTCTGACTCCTCATTCTCTTCAGGCTTAGTTGGTTTTGCATCATCCATCTGCTCCTTCAGCTCCTCGGGCTGACTGTACACTGGTGCGGGATAAGGCTGGGAGGGTGTCTCCCCTGAGGCACCTGCACTCTTGTCTTCATGTTCACTGGATTCTACAACAGAACAAGAGCATGTGGTTAGTCACTCTAGCCACAGGAACTTCTCAATGAGTGTGGAGTATGATGCACCAGGGAATAAGCTCCATGAAGGCTAATAGGAAAAGCATGATTGCAAACAGCTCTGAAAATCATCTGTAGGCCTAGTTGAGTTCCCCTTTCACTCATCATTCTTGTCTATCCTTCATCTAATTATTGATGTTTACTGAACTGGAGGACCATTTCACAACACAGGTGTGGCAGGCAGAATAATGACTCCCTAAAGATGTCCATGTCCTACTTCCTGGAACAGGTGAATGTTACCTTACATGGTGAAAGAGAATTTTCAGATCTGATTAAATTAAAGACCTTGAGATTGGGAGATTTCTTCAATTATTCAGGGGCCCTCACTGTAATGACAAGGATCTTTAAAAGTGTGATAGGAAGGCAGAAGAGGAGGGTCAGAGAGAGATGTGACACTAAAGAATGGCCAAAGAGATGCAATGTTGCTGGCTTTGAAGATAGAAGAAGGGGACCAACCAACCACAAGCCAAGAAATGTGGGTGGCCTCTAGAAGCTGGCAAGGCAAGGGTATGGTTTCTCTTCTAGAGCCTCTAGAAAGGAACACAGTCCTGTTGACCCTTTGATTTTAGCCCAGCTAGTCCCATGTCAGACTTCTAACCTACAAAAATGTAAGACAGTAAATTTGCATTGTTTAAACCATTACATTTGTGGTAATATAGCAACAATAGAAAACTAACACAATAGAGTAAAACCAAAAAAGATACATATCTTAAGAGTAATGGTAACAGGCTTGGAGGAGAGACCCAAGAGTCCCAACATGTAAATAGCATGAGCTCCAGAATAAGGAAAGGAACACATAGAAAAGAAATAATAACTCAACAACAACAACAAAATAGAAGAAAATTTACCTAAGATGAAGAAATACTTGAGTTTGCAGACTGAAATGGTTCACTGATTCTGACACCAGGTTAATGAAGCATATAGACTCCTAAACACATCTAAGTGAAATTTCCAAACTCCGATATTAAAAAGCAACTCTAGAGGCTCCTGCACTGAAGAAATATGATTACTTACAAAGAAAAGAGGAACAGAAGAACGTGAGATCTTCTATCTGTGACACTCTAAGCGCGAAGACAATAAAGTAACATCTGTAGTAACTTGCAGGGAAAAAAAGTACAGCAACTCAAGAACTTAACTCTACTAAAATATTATTCCTCTATCTGGGCAAAAGAAAGTCACTTTAAACAATAGAAGTTCTGAATATATACTACGCATGCATCCTACTTGAGGACAACATTTGAGGAATTACTCTAACCATTTCACAATAATTGAATCAGAGCAGATAAAACAAAATAGGAAGAGAAAAGGAGAAAATAAAAATTAAGAAGAAGTATCCTGCATGATACTTCTGCATGATCCTAAATGTCAATGGAGGATGATCACATTTCTGGAAATGCATAATACGTGTTAAAGACAAATTCTTGAAAGACAAGAAAACATTATATGGAAAATCTAAAACCAGCATCGGTTTTAAACTGTATCTTGGTTAAGCTCAGGTTCTAGAGGGTGGAGAAAAGGCAGGGAAATAAAGACATTTTAAAGGTCTAATAGGGGTACAACAGGGAGTGGGTAAATGAGATAATTTTAAAGCTATCTTTTCATGGGATTAGATTATTGGGCAAGTATTTTGGTCAAGGTGTAGATGTAATGTAATCGTATAATAGGGATATTTTTGAAATATCCTCTAATGTATATTCTCTCTGAACTATTTGGAACTTCTTTTTCTTCCCATTTCGCTTTTCTGCCACTAAACATAGATCATGAGTCTTATTTATTGTCAAAGAGTAGAGTGGGTGCCATCTAGAAAAAGAAACATGTTTGGGGTAAATAAAAAGAAATATATAATGCAGAGTAAGTTCCTGCAAGGTAAGATGGTATGATTGGGAGAGAAATTCAAAGGGGGAAATGTTCAGGTTTAAGATACTGCCTGGTTCTTTCAGGGATTCAGCACCACTATCTTTAGGTTTTGGTCTGGAGTATGATGTGGTTGTGGTAAGAAAGGGGAAACCAAAGAAAAGGTGAAGGGAGTCCAAAGGAAAGGCGAATTATGAATTACTTTAGTTTACAACTTCGGGAAAAATGTTTCCTGCAGAGTAGACTCAAATCTCCACTGGAGGGTCAGAACAGATAGACTGTGAGTAAGGGGCGCTTGGGTGGCTCAGTCAGTTAAGCATTCAACTCTTGGTTTCAGCTCAGGTCATGATCTCAGAGTCATGAGATCGAGCCGTGGGTTGGGCTCCACGCTCAGTATAGAGTCTGCTTGAGATTACCTCCCTCTCCTTCTGTCCCACTCCCCTACTCACACTATCTAAAATTAAAAAAAATAATAATAAATCTTTAAAAAAAATTGGCAAATACCACTTCCAAGACTCCCTTGTGCTATGGATGTCATCTAAAAGTCCAACTATGCCCCAGTGGAAGACTCGAAAGGACCTAAGAGTAGAGAACCAGTAGTGGGTTCTATGACTTCCTCATAGCAGAAGGTGTAATAGAGACAGTTTAACCCAGAAGCAGGAACGAGAGTCCTACTGACAGATGCCAGTGTGAGGATAGGACAGCCAACTTAAAAATATGAAATTGTACAATCATTTGGAAACAAAATCAATAGCTATTAACATGAAAAATATAAATATACAAATGCACATATTCTTTGACTCAGTAATCTCACTTTGAGACTGTATCCTCTAGAAAATAAGGTGGTGTGGTATAAGAATACATATATAATAACATGCAAGGCAGTATTTGTAGTAAGAAAGCCCTGAAAATGGTTTGAATGCCTATCAATGAGAATATGATTAAGAAAATTGTGATTATCATTACCATGGAAAGCTATAGTTTAAAAATAATGAATTAAGTATGTATCTATTTAGTTGGAAAAGATGCTCATCATTACTATTCAAAGAGTAATTGTTTCAGAGAACATATATTGTTAATCCTATTTTTTAAAAATAAGCAAACACCAAGTTCCCTTAGATATATACATATAATTTTGTATATATGAGCATGAAAACAGGATGAAAGATGTACAATAGATTGTCAACTTTGATTACTTAAGGATAGTAAATTCAGATGGGGTGGAAGAAGTTTTCTTTGTATTATCTTTGCATTCATTGGCTATCTATTATTTTTATAACTTTAAAAATTAATACAGTAATTTACAATGAGTTAAAGTAGAATGCCAAATTTGTCTCAATCAATTGCTTAGATCAACGTTTTCCCTATGTGCATCAATCTCTGAGGGCCATATTAAGGTACCTTTAGGAATTAGGAAGCACAAGAATACGTCACAAGCTTTCATAGTTTTGCCCTTTAAGGGCAAAGAACACTTTTTTAAAAAGAATATGGCCCCTTATTGATGTAGTCTTCCAGTTGATTCCTCATACAGAATTGACCTTTGTAAATGTGTGGGAAAGAAGCAGCAAAAAAAAAGGTACCATAGCTCCCTTTAGATTCTTATTGCTGTACCTTATTACATGTAATTACCAATGCACAAAATGCACTGTTCTCAGGTATTTCCAAATGTCATGTTGCATTTGAAAAGTTAAAAGGCAAGGTCATGTTCTGAAATATTCATTCGTTCAATACTCATTTAATCAATATTTATTAAGCACTCAATTGTTGTCAGGGACTGAGAACAGAAAAATGAACAAGACAGGCATGATCCCTGCTCTCGTAGACCTCAAAATAGGTCAGGATGTGTAATCTTTAAACGAGTTTAAGTGTGATGAATGCTTTCCCAGTGAAAGCTGGGATATAATGCATATGCATTCACTTAATTTTATATAAAGAGTCAAGGAAACCCCTTTTTTCCCAATGTGCTACAACCTGAAACATGAAAAAGAAGTCGAGACTTTTTTCAAAGGAAGGTAATGGAGAAAAAAATAGATAAACAAGGACCGAATTAGGCAAGGCCTTAGAAGGCATGCTCAGAATTCGAGACTGTATCCTAAAAGCAATGAGAGGGCACTGATGTATCTTAATCAAAGAGATGACACAATTAGATTTTCATTCTCTACAAAGATCCCCTGTTCTGGGGGTTTGAGAATGGCAAGAGTAGATATTTAGAGGTCTGTGGGAAGTTATTTGCGTGTTCTAGACAAGAGATGATGGTGGCATGGGCATGGAAAGAAGTGGACTGAAAAAATATTTAAGACATCATGGTAAACCTGGTGGATGGCAAAGCTATTCACTGAGATAGGAACTATGAGAGAAGGGGCAGGACTGTGCGGGGGGTCAGGGAGAGGAGGGGTATAGTTTTGGGCACAGAGACAGAGTTCCATGCCAAATTCACAATGGAGATGTCGTGTCAGAGAGTTCTTGGCTGGAGAGAATCAACTCGAGAGACAAGAGTATATAGCTAGACTGCATTATAATTGAAGCCAGAGGAGTGAATGAAATTGCCTAGAGAGACAGTGCAGCAAGTAGAAACTAGGATCCCTACAGCAGCTGTCTGAGGAATTCCCACATTTAACGGTGAGAGAATGATCAGGAAAAGAGCAGCCAGGGAAGTAAAAGGAAAATCAGTCCATCCCCATGCCATTAAAGCCAAGCAAAGAGCAATGAGGAGCAAACGTTTACTACCCGTGGCCAAAGCTTCTAAATAGTCCAGCAAGATAAGGGCATAAAATCTACTGAAATTAAGGACATGGAGACCACTGGTGACATTAGCTACCAGTTATGGTAATAGTTATTGTGGAATGGTGGGTGGGGAAGCCAGGTTGGAATGGATTAAAGAATGAATGAAAAGAAAATATATAATATACTGACAGAGAATTCATTCAAGAAGCTTAGCCATGAACAGATACACTTTTTTCTTTGACTAAAGTCTAGAGTCTTTGGAGATGTCTTAGTTATATAATGACGTGCCAAGATTATGGTGCCAAGTTCTCTCAGTTTGTTTAACATTTGTTTATTCATTCATTCGTTCCTTTATT